AACACCTGCAAACAGGGGAAAAATATGTAGGGCACGGAGTTTTAATCACTATTAACCCCTCCAGCCTTTTGAAGGAGCCAGAAGTCTTCAGCCAGTTAGCATTTAAGGATGCCCTTAACTGTACACGACGGAAAAGCAACGGATCGACGGTGCTGCTGTCTCCACCTCGTGCTTGGCATTCATTCGGCTACGATGTGAAGCGCTTAACGGTGCTTAATGCACGAATGCGCAACAATGAGAACCGAGAAAGGAGCAGCTGGACGGGACGAAGCTCAAGTTCAAAACCGACTCCACAAAGACATCGGCTGAGTTCCCAGAATCCTGCAGGGTCTAATTTGCATAGCGCCGCCCACCTTGGCTTCCCATTGGCTGGCGTGGGCGGCCGAGTCCGAGCAGAGGGCCTCGGTTGCCCCGCCCAAACTCCCGCCCGCTCCTGATGTGCTTTGCGCTGCTGAGGCAACTTGAGCGGAGCGGCTGTTGAGGGGAGGGGGGGGGGAAAGCGGGAGTCGAGCGGAGTCGCCGAGCGGGACGGGGAGGGACGAAGGAGGCGCCGCTGCTTTTGTTTTGTTTTTGGGTGAACCGGGCTCCGCGAAGCTGAGGCAACCGGAGGAAGAGAAGCAGCCCGTCAACGGACGGGGCGGATGGAGTTTGCAGGCGAGTCGGTGCTTGGGGGGTGAGGGGGGGGGGCGCGGAGATGAGGCGGGGGGCTCGTCGCTTTTTCCGCTCGGGAATTTGAGAAAAGAGACGGTTGAGACTCCCCGGCGGGCGTTCTCCTTCCCCCCCTCCCGCCTTTCGCTCGAGGGGGGCGAGCGCGAGGACGAGTTCTGAGCCAGCGCCGTAACGGCACTGAAGTGAGGAGAAGGCGGTAGGGATGCGGGGGGGCGGGGGAGGAGGAAGGGGGCGGAGGCGGGATGGCGGAGGGCGTGGCGGAGGGCGTGGCGGCGCCCAAGGAATGTGAGGGAGGGAGGAAGGGAGGGCGGGCTCCGGTGTGGGGGGGGAGGAGGAGGAGGGGCTGCGGGCCTCGCGCCCTGAGGGCCGGGCGGGGAAAGAGGGCGTGGTTCGCGGGCGCGAGGGAGGGGGTCCGTTTTTTTCCCCTCCCTTCGTGCGCGCGCGCGTTCGCGCGTGCGTGTGTTGTGTTTAGGATGGAGGTAGGAGAGACTCAGGTTTTGGGAAGCATCGTTTGGCTTCGTAGTTTTTTTAGAAGAGTTGAGTCCTGGGCGGGCTCGAACTTGATCCAGCTCCTACCTTGGCTACGGGGGGGAAAGAGGGAAGCTTAAAAAAAATGCACAGAGAGAAGAGCAGAAGGATAGTTTAAAAATTCACAAGACACGCATTCATTCTAATTCGGGGCTGGACCTTAACAATGAGGTCAACAGCCCAGCTATAACAATAACAAAGATATGTTAGTTTAGAGAGAGGGAAATATTAGATGTCCTACTAATTGACTTTATTTTATTTTTTCCTTAGAATATGTTATAAAGATGTAAAGATATGGCATATTGACTGGAACTGGGGGAAGGGGAAAAAATACTAGCAGGTGGTTGTGTTTTTTGAAATCTTAACCAAATGAAAATTGTGGTATGGTGATAGTAAAATATATAAATTTTTTAACGTATACAATTTAAACTGAACGGAATATATATGTGATTGTGGACAGAAGGCACGAAATGTACTTGTGACCTATGGATACGCTTTCTACAAGATGTAATGAAAGATGATGCTTTTCTTTTTGTGTGTTTTTTTTTAAATAAAACTAATAAAAAAATTATAACAAAGAAAGCACAGGTGATTGTCGGCAGAGGTTCATTTCTATTTCACTGAAGTTACCTCCCTTCATAAGTAGAAACATGGGATTGTATGAAACTGGATCCTTTGCTGCTGTTTGAAAATAGATTCGGAGGACCCTTATTAAACGCAGCCCATTGAAACAGCTGTCCACCAGCTAACAAAATACTTGCTTATACTGTAATATGCTGGTCCTGCTTGCCATCCCTATCCTATCTTATGCACGTTGTCCTCGCTTATGGGCGGGAATTGGTAGATTCCTTCCAGTTTTGTTCCCTTCCACCAAATATCGCCAACCAGTGGGGGAATATTCCGCGTCCCCTTGATGTGAGATTGAGCTGGGGTTGGCAGGGGAGGTAAGGTTTGAAAGATGGCTAAATTGGTTGATTAACCAACTGTTAAAAACTCCTCCAGATTTGTTCAAGTAAGTTAGGTTGAAAGGTTCCTTTTGGTTCAGTGTGCAAAGAGAGTTGCCCCATGAAACAGAAGACGACTACTCTCCTAATTCACTGTGTGGTCTCTCTGTTACCACTGCCTGACCAGCTTCTATTTGGACCAGTCCAGCCCTCCAAACTGGAGATTGGCACAAGGTCCCTGTGGATTTAGGGAGAGAACCCAGTTTGAAAGAACCAGGCTGTCCTAGTGTTCAAACAGTGGTTTAAGAACACAACACCAGGTATCAAAAGAGAGAGTCCTGAATCAACCTTATTGACTAGCAAGTACTGATCCCACCCCCAAAATATCACATGGCTTGCTATGAACAATGATTAATGAAATGTACCAGAATAAGAGCCAAAATAATGTCAAGGTATAGGAGGAAAGGCTACTTTTAACACTCTTGCAACTAAGGATGTTTAAGGCGATGCAGGCATAGACTGGGAGTCGGATGAAGACAGTGGCATGAAGACAAAACAGAAAAAAAGAGATTGCTGTTGCATATTTGGGGCATGGATGAGGCAGACATGTAGCCTGTGAATATTCTAAAAAGGACAACTCATACTTGGTTTAAACTAGATAGCCCATGGCATGTTGGATTATTATTTCAGAGATATTTCTTTATATAAACAGAGAAACAGAATGACTATAAGTGAGCAAAAAAATTGCATTGGGAGTTGTGGGGTGGCGGACTTCCTACCAGCTTCGCCATTGACTTTACTTGGGGAAACTGGCAGGAAGGGTCAGAGATGTCTCTCTTTTTTCTTCTTTACTTGCTTCCTTCTCTTCTATCCTTCCCTCCCTTCCTTTCTTCCCTTCCTCTCTCCTTGTTTATTTGTCCAACTAAATCTAAAAACGTGGTGTAAGAGAGAAAAACTTACTAACTTTCCAGAAGTAAATCAGTGTTCAATCAGATTCTTTCATTTGTTAGAATCATATTGCTAATTAGACAATATCTCTCAGGTTTGAATTTCTGCTTTTGTGTTCTTCCCAAATGGGAAATTCTGTTATCTGGAAACTGTAATTGATACTTTTAGCAAATACAGTGAAAATAATAATAGCATAAATTATTTGCTAAAATATGTATTTGTTGAGTGAATTGATCTGCCTATGTGTTACTCTATTTCAATAGTTAACTTGCTGGATATGTGACATGAGTTCAAAATATGGAACTTGTTAACTATCCAATGCTGTAATGTTGTGTTGAATTAGTGTTTTTATTTATGCATATGTGCTGAACATCACCATTCCTCCAAGGATTAAAATAAATATTTATCAATTTACTAACCAAGCTCCTTAAGTAGAAATCAGATTGATCTGACAATTTTTTTATGTTCAACCTTCCTTTAACATGTCAGGTGGTGAGCTCAAAATTTCCGTTGCTAAGCAAGGCAGTAGTTGTGAGTTTTGCCCCAATTTATGAACTTTTTTGTCAAAGTAGTTAAGTGAATCACTGCAGTTGTTAAATGAATCCTGCAGTCATAAAGTGAATAGCTTCCCCCATTAACTTTGCTTGTTGGAAGCTGGCTAGAAAGGTGATCGCAAATGGTGATCACATGACTCTGGACAGTGCAACTGTCATACATACATGCCAACTGCCAAGCATCCAATTTTTGATCATGTTACCATTGGGAAACTGCAACAGTCATAAGTGTCAAAACTAGTCATAAGTCACTTTTTTCAGTGTCATTGTAACTCTGAATGATCACTAAATGAATATTTGTAAGTTGTGGGCTGTGATACCTGTGTATCTTTCTATTTAGTATCACAGTTTTGTCTTCTAAAAAGTGAAAATTATTTTGAAGGTAGAGGTGTCATATTTAGAAATATGGGAATGCTTATGTTCCTATTCTGAATTATGTCAATAGCATATGCAGGAATTTACAGAGAATGAAATACAGTTAAATCCAAATAAGATAGAATAGTAATAAATTGTAATGATATTATTTTCATAAATGTTGAACTAATCAGATAAGTTCATAAGTTTAAGATATTGTTTGTTGTTTGCGATACCAAAGATGGTATTCTATTTTCTTCACTACCGATTCGGTAGCGGGAGTTAGCGTGCCTGCACAGAAGGTCTTTGATGACATCAGGGTGGGTGGGCGGAGCCTTGCGCTTCCGCCACTACCGGTTCACCTGAACCGGTGCAAACCGGCAGCATACCATCACTGTGTGGTGCCATCTGAATATTTTTCCAAGAATGCCTCATAATCTCACCAGCCTTTGGTCTTGATTGAGGTATTATAATTTGTGATTCAACATATTCAAAAATTGTGTGTCAGGTAATGCAGGGGTTGTCAAACTTTTTCAGGCTCTGGGATCTAGTTTGGGTCCATGGAAGGAAGCTGACATCCTTCGGGAGGCTGATTTTTCAGCCAGCCGTTGCAGACGAAATCCAAGCAGATTTTCGCTCCTGAGCAAAGATGCAGGGGAGAGAACGCTACGGTTTCACAAAACATAATTTGAAAAACCTTGAACTAATAGTTTCCTACATGTTTGAGTTAAACTTCTGATTCCTGAAAATTAAAAAAATATGTACCATCCACTTTATTAAGATTATTTTTGTTAGTCTTTCAAAGTAAAGGTTTCCTATCAAATTTCTTGTGACCCAGTTAACTGAAACCAGGTCAATCCCTTGTTTTCGTAGAGCTTTTAGATCGTTGACACCAAATGGATATTGATATTGGCAGAGATTATAAATCTTAGTTTTTGTGACGTGCTCACTCGAGCATTTTGCATCATTGTGTGCAGCATAGTGAACATGGACAAGATAAAGAAAAGCAGAGAGTTGCCTGAGGAGGAAAGGAAGAAGGTAATAGCCGAGCATGGTAAAGGTAAAGGCTATACAATGTTCCCTAAAGACCTTCGTGTATCTGTGACCAAGCTTGCTAATACTATCAAGAAGTTTAAGGTCCATGGGATCATAGGCGCAACCTCCCTGGATGTGGCTGCAAGAGAAAAATTGAGCCCCAGATTGAATAGAAGGATAGTTTGAAGGATGGAGAAAGAACCAAAGAAAACTTGAAAAGAGATGGTACAGGTAGTCTCGCTTAGCAACCACGATTGGAACTAGAATCTTGGTTGTTGAGCAGAACAGTAATTAATCTAGATAGCACGTGACTACTTCACTCAGTGGTGGTAATCCTGGCCCTTCCAGTTGCAGTCATTAAGCAATCATGCAGGTTGTTAAGCAGACAGGGTCCAGGTAAGGAAGGTGATTGCCCCTCAGAAGGGGTAATACCTTGGAAGCTCCGCTCAGGAGCCGAAAATCCTTTCTGCCAAAATCCAAACAGGATTTTCACTCCTTAAGGGAAAGACAGGTCATGTGCTGGACAACCCATGGCCTCACTCCCATCCCTTGAAGTATCCCACACTTCTTTCCTTGTGTCTCTCCGGTCAGGAGCTGAAAGTTCTCCCTGTCAAAATCCAAGCAGGTTTTTCAGTTCCTGAGTGAAAAGACACTCATACATGACTTGTGTTGGGCTTCCCCACCCATCTGAGACATCCTTCACTGTCTCTCAGGAGCTTAAATTCTTTTTTTAAAAAAAAAAATCAGCTCCCTCTCATATCTAGTGGCTGAAGGAGCAGCCTTCCAATGGATGTCAGCTCCCTTCCATGTGTGGAAGAGATGTCTAGTATAGTATTGATGAGTTTCCCTCAACAACTTAAAATATCCCATGACCACAGTTTGGCAACCACAACTTTATCCAACTGTTCTTAGAATTTAGAATAGAATTTTATTATTTGTATGCCGCCCTTCTCCGGGAGGACTCAGGGCGGCGAACAATTCAAAAGGGGGAATTCTTATTATAAAAACGCTTAAGCAATAATTTTACCTTAAATAAATGCTTTCCCATGGTACTACTCAAAGTTTGTGATATCTAAAATAATAAATGAATAATTTATTATATAATTTTACTATAATTTCATTGTAAGCTCTAATAAACTAGTCATTTTCAGATAAAAATGCTAGACTTCACCAGTATGTACAGTTCTGCAGATAACCCAGGTCTATGACTATGTAAAGCAGGGGTAGTCAACCTTTTTATACCTACCGCCCACTTTTGCATCTCTGTTAGTAGTAAAATTTTCTAACCGCCCACCGGTTCCACAGTAAATGGTGATTTATAAAGTAGGGAAGTAACTTTACTTTATAAAATTTATAAAGCAGAGTTACAGCAAACCCCCCACCGCCCACCATGAAAGCTGGAACGCCCACTAGTGGGCATTAGGGACCAGGTTGACTACCTCTGATGTAAAGCATAAAACTTATATTTTACAAGGAGGAGATGTCTGTTAAATCTGAAGGACACTTTTATGCATGTCATTTTGCATGCGTGTCAGAAATATGTATCAGACTGCCCTGCTTATTCTGAGCCATTGGTGCTCAGTGCTGGAAGTACTACCTCTCTTTGTTGCTATGGAACTTGGAATTTATTTGTGCAGGAGTTTAGATATATTCATGCTTCTTTTGAGGCCATTTTTTGCCCTCTAGAGGCTTCAGGAGCTTCCCTGAAGCCTCTGGAGCACAAAAAACCAGACCTAAGGGCAAACCGAAACATATTTCCGGTTTGCTTGTAGGGCTGGTTTTACCTCTCCGGAGCCTTCAGGAGGCTTCCCTGAAGGCTCCGGAGGGCAAAAAACGACCCTACGAGTAAACTGGAAGTTGCTCGTAGAGTCGTGTTTTTTCCCTCCGGAGCCTTCATGGAAGCTCCGGAAGGCCCCTGAAGGCTCTTGGAGGACGAAAAACTTCCGGTTTGCTCGTAGGGTCGTTTTTTGCCCTCCTGAGCCTTCAGGAAAGCCTCCTGAAGGCTCCGGAGAGGTAAAACCGGCCCTACAAGCACACCCAAAGTCCGTTCCCGAACTTCCGGTTTGCCCATAGGGGCGGTTTTTTACCTCCGGGGGGCGGGGAGGGGGAGGCTCTTTTCGCCCTCCCCAGGCTCCTATAAAGTCTCTGGAGCCTGGGGAGGGTGAAAAAAAGCACACCAAAAATGGAGGGGGAGCACTGGTCATGTGCACGTGCATGCTGGGGTTGTGCCCACACACGACCCCCCCTGCACTCCCCCCGCTTTTAGCACACGAGCCATAAAAGTTTTGCCATCACTGGTCTAGTCTCTTCTTTAAAACCTCCCGTAATGGAATGCCCACGATTCCTGAATGCAAGCTGTTGCACTGGTTAATTGTCTTCACTGTTATTTTCAGGTTGCTTCTCTCTTTGATTAGTTTCCAACCATTGTTTCTTGTCCTGCCATTTGGTGCTCTGGAGAACAATTTGACCCCCTCTTCTTTGTGGCAGCCCCTCTAATACTGCTATCATGTCACCCCTAATTCTTATTTTCTTTGGATTAGACAAACCAAAACCTGGAGCTGTTCTTCATATGTTTAGTCTCGAGGCCTTTGATCATCTTAATTGCTCTTTTCTGAACTTTTTCCAAAGTCCCAAAATCTTCTTTGTAGTGCGGTGACCAAAATTGGTTGCAGTATTCCAGGTGTGTTATTACTAGGGTTTCTTACTAAATCAAGTAGATTTTACCACCTTGCCAATATATGCCAACAATATCAGTTCTATCACAGTAACCCTATGTAACCTGCTTGCTTTCTCCCTCGAGACTGTTCTTTTTCTCAGATTCCCAGTAACATTCTGATTATGAAAATGGAGCTTTAAAGAAATATTATAAGCTGAAGTAGTCTTCTAAATAAGATATCTCACAGTTTTTAAAATTTTGAGATCTCCTCACTGAAATCAGTGTATTTTGAAGAGCTAATAGAACAGGGACGCGGTGGCTCAGTGGATAAGACACTTGCAAAAAATGCAAGTAGAAAAATAGGGACCACCTTGGTGTGAAAGTAACAGTGCTTTGTGCGCCTTTGGTGTTTAGTCATGCCACATGACCACAGAGACATCTTCAGACAGTGCTGGGTGATGAGCACTGCCTCTAGAATCGGGAATGACTAGCACATATGTGTGAGGGGAATCTTTATCTTTACCTAATGGAAAAATGGCTATAGTCTTATAATACATTTTCATGGGGATGGGGAATGCCAGTTTACTTTCTCCCCTTTTTTTGTATTCTTTACACAAGCTGGTATTTTATAAATATACACAAAACTAGAATTCTTAATACACTCATAAAGTGATATTACATGAAATGTTGTTGCAATCTTTTTGACCTATCCTTTTAAAATATAGGCTTACAACTTACAAATATGCTTTGTGTTAGCAGCATCATTGTTATCCTAAACAGTTTGTAGTATGTCATAGAATATTATACAATATTGGTTTTTTTTAACCTTGTCCAATTTATTAAGAAAAAATAATTTATTTCGGTTGGACTTTCTTTCAAATAAATAAGTTTAATAATGTAGTGGCAGTGCAATTATATTCAAGTTTACTTAGAAATAAGTGTATATGCATTCATGCCATTAATAAGTGTGTTTATTAAGATTCTCATTAATTTTGACTTTTCATAATCAACAGCATTCAATTTTGAATAATATGTAATTTAGTTTACAGATATATGGAACTCTAGTCATTATTATATTAGAAGGAAATCGGTAGAAAAGTAAATATCAGAATATGTCATGGAAGAGACATTTGTTAACTTGATCCTACAAAGATGTTCTCCAGAAATTAGGCCTTCATTTCCGAGAATTACTCAGTCACCATGGCTATTGTTGATACTTATAGAAGCCCCAAAATATGGAGGATGCCCAAGTTGGCAAAAGCTGGATTTGTTGAACTTCTTTCTGATATTATTCAAATTTTCTTACTTATTGTTTCCTTTTATTACAGGTTTGCTGTAAGCAATTTACCACAGCTATGACACCTGCTGTCCAAGAGAAAGCAATGAAAAGTCATGGTGTATATTTATCATCATCTTTACCTTCAAGAGAGATGGAGTCCAGTGAAGCACTAGCAATGGAAAGTACTAGACCAGTAAAAGAGAAGATAAATGACGATTCTGCCACAAGTTTTTCTTGTTCTATTTTGGGGTTACCTGGTTCTCAGGTAAACCACAATATTGATTGCTTTAACTTAAAATATTTTGATCCCCAGTCGCCTAAGCATTGTTCTTTATTATTGAGTCCTAATTTAACATTCAGTGTAAACAATAACAATTGTATCCAGAAGAACTTAGAAGAGCATAATTGCTCCAAGTTGAAAAATCCTGTATGTAACAGCATTAATACACATTTCAATCAGAGTATTAATTCAGAATCTGGAGTATCGGTTAGAGGGGATGTTTTATCAGGAACAAGGAAAAGCTTTCTGGAAACAGAGAGATTACTGGATTTCCACTTAACTGAATTGAAGAGCACAGAAGAACAGCAGTTTCCAAACTATAAGTGGTATCGAAGAAATGGCTTTTGTGGCAAGGCTTTATTTGTTAATCCTGAGACAAAAAAAGGAGATATGTTCCATCAAATATTCCATGACGCCCCAGAAGTAACAATAAATTGCAATCCTGGCAGCAAAGAACAGGAATTAAATTTTCGGTTACTTCAGTGTGTAAACAAGCAACAGACTTTGTTAAACCGGGCCAAAAGAAGTCAGAAACACTTGCAAATTTTGTTGGCAAAGCATATTGTCAAACACTGTGACCAGCAGATGAAATGCTTTGTGAAACATCAGCTGCGGAGAATGAAAGCTTTTCATGATACAAACAATCTTTTGGATGGAAACTATGAAAAATGTACTATGGTTAAAGTTGAGAACACCCTAGAAGCTAGTAGGAATAAAGACACACTGTCTAATTTGGATACTGCACCTGATGAAATCAAGCTGTTTGCTTGTTCTACAGCAGAACTGCTGTCTCAAGTGGAAGAAAGTTTGGATTCTGAAGCAACTTGTAGCAGCTCAAGTGACGATGATGATGAGCAGATTTCAAAAACAACTGTGCCAATGTAAGCATTAAAACATTTCAAAATATCAGTGCTACAGGTCTGCTAACAGTTTTATATACTCAAATTCATGCTTCCTACTTAAAATCTGCATTAAAGTTAAGTTATTATCTTAATGATTAACTCAAAGCCAAGATACAGATCTTTTGAGCTAGTTTTGCTAAATGGTAAAGTTACCCAATGACTGAAAACTTGAAAGACAGCTTGTAAATAAATGGGGAAGATGAGTAAACATTTTATACTGAATGAAGGGAAATTGTGGTTCTGTCTAATTGAGTTTCACTGTTTAATCTTCATATAACTTCTTCTCAGATATCCATTTCCTCCCCATACTCCAGTTTTTGTGTGTGTGTGTGTGTATGTATATATCTATATCTATCTATCTATCTATCTATCTATCTATCTATCTATCTATCTATCTATCTA